ATATATATATATATATATATATATATATATATATATAAATTCTGTATCAAACATTTAAATATTTGTAATTAAAAATTTAAACAATAAGGATTCAGAGTTAGAAAGCAGTGTTAGTGTTCAGGAAATAATATTTTTACCTTATATGCAATCGCTCCTATGACTGCAAAGAAGTTACTTATTCTACGAAACTTTTTATACTTGTTATTTGATCAATAGTAAGTCAATTAATAGCGTACATTTCTTACTAACACTTCACATACTTTCAAATCGCCAATATCTAATATTTTCGACATTGTGATACTGAATGACTGAACTTGTGATACTAGCTAATATTTAAATGATATTCAGAAGATATATAACAAAATATATGAAAGATAAGTTGTACATTTATGATGTACTTAATGAAACATTTATACAATTTTGATACAAATAATAAAGCAATATTTTTTAGAAAGGTAAATTAGATAGGATAAATTTTAAGTTTATATTATTAACTACATTAACTACAAATGTGATATTTCAGTTTAAGATTGAAAAGTTAATATATTAATTAAAGTTTTGTATTTATTTTAAAATATTTATTTCTAAGTTAAAAGAGAGAAACGTGTAGTAATAAAAACATTTGTATCAAAATGATTATTTTTAACAAAAAGGTATAAAAATATGTTCCACAGTGAAAAAGAAATGCAACATAAATATATTTATTTTCCCGATAAAGATAACGAAGCATTAAAATTTTCAATTGGAATTACAATGTAATCGAATTGAAAACAAGATGTTCCAATTTTTTAATTTAATATATGTATTTATTGTAGTTCTTCATTATTTATGTTACTTACATTGACATTTAAAGCAATAAGAAAGTATATATTCCTCATTTATTCTTGTTTATAAAATGAAAATATACGTACTTAATAAAACATAATTGGTTTTATTTATTAAGTCAATCCTTACATGCTCAATTAATTTCATAATTATTTATTATAATAACTTTATAACAATATGTTATAACAATTGACGTCACCTTCTATATCTATATTATGAATTATATTGTTATTTTCTCTTATATTTATAGGTTCTATATATATATAGGTATATCATAATTTTTAAAATCTATGCATATATTATGTAATATGCAACAAGCTAAGACTATAAGAGGAATTAATTCTGTGTTATACATACATATATATATATATATATATATATATATATATATATATATATATATATATATTTTTTTTTTTAATTTTCTAAATCGCCCTGTTAACATTACAAAAGCAAGTTCTATTAATACGCGAGTCTTAGCATGTTTTCTATTATAACTGATTTGTATCGGATTAAGGTGACCGTTATCGCGATAGCGTGTGAGCATTCTGTTCGATAATGGATAAGCACTATCAGTCATTAGATGGTAAAAATGTTGAAAATGCCTATAATCATCTGCTCTGATACATCTTTTTATATCGCTCAATTCCCATACTCTTGCATCATGTACGCTGCCACATATTCCAATAAAAACGTCCGTAAATTTTAGTGTATAGTCACAAATGTCTTGCAGTAAGATGGAAAAATAATTCTTTCGATTAATATAGCTATTTGTGTCTTGTGTTGGAGCACTTATTTGAATGTAGCAACCGTCAATGGCTCCTATGACCCCAAGAAAACCAGTAATTTTATAAAATTCTTCCTCTATATTTGCCATTTGATCTATCGTGGGCCACTTAATAAAATGACGTGCGTTAGATGCCACCACCTCAGTTACTTTAAAAATCGATCTCCAAACAGTGTCTTTTGAAACTCCGAATCTGCTATTGATCTGAAACTAATAAATTTTATATAAGATAAGAATCGAAGCTTAATATGTATGATTGATTAAATAATACAGTAAATATAGTATATTTAAAAAAATACTATTTTTATTTTTAGAGTACTATTTTATGATATTTTATGGAATACTATGAATAACTATAAAGATCACACCTTTAAAACAAAATATTTTGTCTTATAAAAGTATAATATTATATGTTATTATATATTTTACCATATTTTTATATCATTCAATACACAGACAGCATACATATCCAAAACTGGGATATAAGACGTCTAAGTCGTCTTCAAGATGTCTTAAAGACGTCTTATGTCTCACTTTTCGACATTGTGCTGTCTGGATATTCAAAAGGAATTTATACGAGAGCGTCCTGCTTGCTTATGTTGCTTACAATCAATCCTGTTTCTTTAATTGAACGAATTCTATCATCATTGATAAATTGGAGGATGCCATGGCTAAACGGCACGTGGGTCATCAGTACTCACCCAGTTCATACGTATTCAATATTATTCAATGTACTTCAAATGTATTATACTCTCAATACAAAAATCTATCTTGCACATTTAATTAAATTAATAAATTATAAAATTTTACATATAACATATATAAAAATATTAACCTGTACACTTCTTGATTTCCATAGAACCACAAAGCTATGGCAATTTTTTTTCTGGGGATATTTTTTCACGATCTATATCACGATGTAAGTTTGGTCCAAATAGTTGAACTAGTTGTTCGAATACATTCCTTGTTACTCGGAAATGCGTCTGGAAATGTTAATTGTAATAAATTCAATATTAGTATACACGAACATATTCCATTATAATTATTTATTGTCAGAATTAATACTAATAAAAACAAAACGAATTATTATCAAAGACTATTATTAAGAACATCACTTGCCGTGCATTTGATATTATTTTTTAGAATACTTCTTGATAAAATTTTTATTAAAATTAATATAATGGTTAACTACTTTTTATGAGAATTGCTTTACTAAATAATCTTTATATTATACTTATCATTTAATGAATATCCCATAATAACATGTTCATAATACATTTGTATTTCAATGTGTCGTTCTCGAATAGCTTGTGCAATATATTCAGCATCATTGTCATCTTCATAGAAAAATAAATCCAATAAAAGATCCATTTTTATAAATCCATAAAATAAGAATTTATTATTATATGAAAAAGAAAATATGTGAGAATTTGACAAATTTTAAACATAATATAGAATTGAATAAAAAATATGGTTT